AWAAAATTTTTCTYAGCRCCCTCCTAGCCCACTTGGCAGAACATCCCGTTTGCAGGCAAGCCCTCCCAAGGACAGCAGACACCTTGTTTTCAAGCATGTCCGCTGTTACCTATCTATGCCTTGACAGAATATCCCGTTTGCAGGCAAACTCCATCAAGGACAGTAATAGTAATGCAGTCACATCTGATTCTCTACATCTCCCTCCTTTTGTTTTTGTAAATGAGCCATAGCAGAAGCGATAAGAGAGGTTTCATGTTTCAGTTGCCTTTGCTTTTTCCAGCGTTGGAAGACTATGTACAAAACAAAACACAAAACAAAAATTATTACAGTGTTACCTAAAGAAGCTGACAACAAGGTAGAGAAATGACTTAAAGGATTTAAATTAGSAATACTTGAAGACAATTTTTGTAAAATGTCAGATCCTGTTAGTTCAGGTAATGTCTTACTAAAGGTGTCCATAATAGTTTTTTCCAAATTCATAATTTCTAAAGTTAAATTTTGATGTCCATTTAACCTTCTTTTAACAATTTCCCAGGAATCACTGGTATTATATGGCACAGGGGTCACAAATATGAGAAGAATTCCAGTCACACTTCAGAACACTTCTGGTAGCCAAGATAGTCACTTGATCGCCAAGCCAGGAAACAGTGTGTTGTAAATTGATCACATCTGTAGCCAGTTGAGAGTCTAAGTCCTTTTGTTGTTGCCATAATAAATGAGCATCTTGATGCCATGTTCTCACAAAATCCGAAGTTTGAATGCCTTGATGTAAAGCAACGCCAGCTACTGCAGCAGTGGCAGTTACAGAAGCAACTACAAGGATTGAAGCTATAACTATTCCTATTGATCGTCGAGAGCGATGTAACAAAACTTGAACAGCATTGTACAAATGAGTAACAGACAGTGAATCAGACCAAGGACGAGTCAAATTAACAGGCACCCACAATTCTGTGCGAGCTTTAACATTAACTAAAGAATAATTATGAATTTCTATTAATTCCCAATTCTATTTACACATTGAGTAAGATAACAGTCTATACATGATATTGTTCCCCAAGTTACCTTCCATTCTCAGTTTCCAATCATAAGAGAATAABGGAATTTAACACATGTAGAAACAAAATAAGTCAGATTATTATGTAGATGTATTTCAAAAGGAGAGGAATGGGATACATCTGATGTGAAATTTCCAGTCCATACAGTGAGTTTCCCAGATACCTGGGGTGCTTACCCTTTCGGTGCTGGATCCTGCCGACTACGCCAAATGTTGCAGTAATTCATGTGCAGGTCAGCATGGGAAAAGAAAGAAGAAGCAGAGCAAGCAAAGCAGCAGCAGAAAAAAAAGTCCTTTATTTTATACAAGCAATCTTTTTATAGTATTGTGAACAAAGAAGGCAGCCTTCTAACATCAATAAATCAGGTCTTTCAGCTAATTAAACATAGCATACAGAAGTTTTACTTTCTAATCAGAAGTGATCCGCTTCTCCTGGCTAATCTACTCTCGGCTTGGAGTATGCTGAGCTCTGTTCTTGTTAAGAAMAGATAATAAAATTTTTCTCAGCACCCTCCTAGCCCACTTGGCAGAACATCCTGTTTGCAGGCAAGTCCTCCCAAGGACAGCAGACACCTTGTTTTCAAGCATGTCCGCTGTTACCTTATCTAAATCTTGAAGGAGCCTCTCGTTTTCAAGCAGGCCCTCCCAAGGATAGCAGACACCTCGTTCAAGCATGTCCGCTGTTACCTATCTATGCCTTGACAGAGTATCCCGTTTGCAGGCAAACTCCATCAAGGACAGTAATAGTAATGCAGTCACATCTGATTCTCTACATGACTCAGTGGTTAAGTGTCTCTGGCCTTAATTCCTGATACCAAAACAAGTAAAAGAGAATAAAGTAAAAAATTCCCTCAAGTTTGATGAGTAAGTGTAAAACAACTGAAAATCTCATGACATTTTTGTATACAAGGCTTTTCTCCAGAGTGAGTTCTCCCATGATACTCAAAATGTACCTGGAAAGGTGAAAGTGTCACCACATTGTTTAAAGAGCAGAAAGGTTTTCCATGATATGAATCCTTTTTAAGTCTTTAGAGGAAACCGTGAAAGATGAATACTGCCCCGCATGGCTTATCCACAAGATTTTATACAGTATGAGTCCTTTCATACAACGAAACAAAACTGGAACACCTAAGCCCTTTGTATTTCTTACTTGCATACAGTTTATTCAATTTGACATGAATCTTTCAAGAAGAATCTTCCCAGTCCTAAGAAAAAAGTGGGAAAATTAGAAGACTTCCCACATTTCTCACATTCTCAGGGCTTCTCTCCATAATTATTTTCATATATGAGAAGGAAAGCAGGGGTGGGATGGGAAGCTGACAGGATGTATCCAATCCTTCACATTCGGAGAATTTGTTTTCCAGTGTGAGTGAAATAGCTTTGAAGGCACCAGGGAAAATGGAATGATTTTCTAATTTTTTTTCCATTTAAAGCATTATTCAATTAGATGTGGTGGTGTATGCCCTTAATCCCAGAGACTCAGGGAGCTGAGGCAGAAGGATCACAAATGTGAAGCCAGAATCAGCAACTTAGGAAGACACTAAGGAACTCTGCAAGTTTCTGTCTCAAAATAAAAAGGAAAAGGGATGTGGCTCYGTGATAGAGGAACACCAGATTAAATCCCCAGTACAATAGGTAGATAGATTGATTGATTTATTGATTCAGACATGTGAGTACTGGAAGAACGATAAAGGCTTGCCATCGGAGAAAATGCCTGTTTATTGAGGAACAGCTCTGCATATTTATAGAGCCGGGGGCCTTTTGACAGTTATGACAGTTTAATGGTTGAACGGTTTGACAGTTGGCTGGGGTGGTTTCTGATTGGTGGGTAAGGATCATGTGAGCCAGCAGGGCTAGTCTGATTGGTGGGTAAGGATCATGTGAGCCAGCAGGGCTCACCATTGGACAGCAGGATCATGTGAGCCAGTGGGGCTCACCATTGGATGGCTCTTTTTGGGGGATGGGGAAGTTAGTCTTTGGAGCCKGGGCGACCCCCAACATTAGTACTTTCTTCTCTTTGAATTTGACAAGAAATATTGATTTACCACATTTCACATTCAAAGAATTTTTCTCCAGAAAATTTACTACATGTTAATGAGTGAAACATTATTAACAGAAGAATTTGCCAATTGTTTTCATGAGTATG